GCGGCGGCCGCGGCGGCGGCTGCGGCGGCTGCGGCGGCTGCTTCTCCGGAGCCGGCGCCGCCGGCTTCTGACTCTTTTCCTCTTCGGCGGGTGCGGCGGCTTTGCTCCCCGATTTCTTCGCCTCCGGCTGCGGCGGCCGCGGCGGCGGCAGCGGCGGCTGCTGCTCCTCCAGCGCCGGCGCCGGCAGGCTTTTCTCTTCCCGCGCGGGGACTACACTCCCGGCGGGGGACGGCTCGGGACCGGTCTGCGGGTCGGCAGCACCAGTTAGCTCCCCGTAAGAAGGCGGGCGGACCGTCAGCGACAGGCGTCGACTCTGAGACTGAGGGAGCTGCCGTGCCGCCTGCGATACCGGCGGCGGCGGGGCGGGCGCGGATGTCGACGGGGGGCTGGGTGGGCCTGATTCCGCCGCCACGGCCGCTGCTGGTGCTTCCGCCGGTGCTGCTTCCGCCGGTGGTGCCTCCGCGGGTGCTGCTCCTGAAGGTAGCGGTGGTCGTGGTTGTGGTGGTCCTCCTGGTTCCAGCGAGGTCGAGCTTTCCGCCGGTGCTGCTTCTGCTGAAGGCAGCGGCGGTCGTGGTGGTCCTCGTGGCTCCAGTGAGGTCGAGCTCTCCGGGGAGCTCGGCGGAGATACGTCCACAGCGGCAACATTCTTGTTGACGCCGGTCCACTCCGGCATGGTTGCGGGAGGCCTCTTTTAAATGATTTTGTTACTCAGCAGCAACGCGGCGGCGGCTTTCTGCCCTCCGGATGCACGTAGGACGGAAGACAGCAGCAAACAAAAAGACAGCAGCGGCAGCAGCAGTCACGACAGGGAAAGAGAAGCAGACCAGAGACGACGACAGCGACAGCGGCAGAGATCAGACAGACGAGCGAGGCAGAGTACACGTGCACAACGGGGCAAAGAAGCGAAGCAGTCCGTTACCCTGGTCGCTGAACCGCGAGTGGAAGTCATCTGTATTTTCGCAAGCGAGCGGTCGCCGTCAAAACACAACATACGGACGTTGTTCACATTGGGTACGCCGAACTGCCACAAAAACCCACACAGGGTTGGAGTGTGGCTGGTAGCGTGGGGGAAATGCACACAGCAAATAACCCCTGTGTGCACACCTCCCTCTCCACCCCCGAAAAAGAACTGCCCCGGATGCAGACACGTTTTCAGTTGGTCCCGGCGCTACACAAATGTTTTTCGTGTTGCATGTTTTAAACAGGCACCACACGTTGAGACACCTCAGAACTTGCCGTCCGTGACGTGCCTGGAGCGTGCAAAATTCGCCAGATTCGGGCATGTTGTTCTCTCCAAGTACTGCAGGTGTTTTGGATGTTGTCGCTTTGTTGCTTTTTTGCTTTGCCCGGTATCTCGGGGTGAAAGAGTGAACGGAGCAGGAGGTGTGTGACAGGCAACTGCAAGCGTACGACCTCTCCTGAGTCCCTTTCTATTGAAGTGCTGCTCGTATTTCGCATCGAGTGCTGCACCTTCTACCTCCTAACAGGATGATGGCCGGCTTCTTGGTCATACTTATGGAACGTAGCCTGGGCCGGCGAAAACCCGGCATATCGCGACATCCCCGCGTTGTGCGGACGCGAGGTCAATCGTGTCATGACTTGCTACGGCATGCATTTTACTTGAGTACACCCCCCCCCCCCCCCCGGAGAATCTGAAACTGGGGGGGCTTTTTTTTTATTTATTGGCCAAGAAAGGGTGGTGGGTGAGCACGTTGTAAAAAACCAAAACCATGGTGGTATTTTTTTTTTGGATTTTGGAAAAAAAAAGTATGGATGGAAATTAACCCCGCCCCCCCCCGGGAACAGTAATGGACGAGCCGGGCGGGGGGGTTTGGGAAACGTCCAAACTTTTGGGTATTTAAGTTGGGGGGTCGAGGAACTCCGAAGGAAAAAAAGGGACTCCCGAGGGGGAGAGGGGAAAATCCGCGAACGGGAAAAAAAAAAAAAAAAAAAAAAGAAAGAAGGGACTACGCTGGGAGGAGAAACGTTGCCTCTTTCAAATTGGAAGGGAAAGAACGCAGGGGGAAAAGGGGAAAAACAAAAAAAACCAATAAGGGCGTGAATAATTTTATCTTAAAAAAAATA